ACATCTATCACGGTTTTCCATCTTCTCCAGGATGTGTTCTTTCACATTGCAGGGAAGCTGATAACTGTCCTGGACCTCTTGGTAGGTCCTATATATCATGTAAGATGTAAATTTCTTTTCCATTCCTTCTTGGTGGAACATGGGTAGAATAATAGTTCCAAAGATGATGAGGTGGGCTGAGCCTCTCTTAGATCCTTCCTCGGGATTCATGAAGGCTGAGGCAGACTGAGCTCTGAATCCCTTAGAGCCCTCAAAATGTCCCAGAAGCTGACCATGAGTCTCATTAGATGACATAAAAGGTTATTGTTTACCAAGGCCCTGGATTTGATTTCTCAACACTGAGAAAGAAAAAGCCAATGTCTATCTATTCTTGATTCTGCAGTTTGACATAATTATGGAACCACTTGGACAGGATTAATGGATTACCTGGGTACAGGAAGTCAACCTAACCTTGGAAATACCGTGTATACCTGTGTCAGAGGCAAGAGCCCATGGTTTGGATTGCTGTTTTTCTCAGACCAGGTAGGGTGTGTGCTGCTGCCTGCTGATAGACAAGGCAAAAGAAGCCTATGGGTGTTTCTTCCCAATTCTTTTGGGAATTCTTTGTCTTGAGCTTTAGAAACAACAGAGATTTGGTTCTGATAAGGAACAGCAAAGAATCCTCTGACAAGTTGCTATATCCAGAGGGGACTCTAGCTACTGGGACATCTTCTACACATTACCTAAAGCTGTCATTGTCATAGATGGTTTCCTCTTCCAGGGCTACATCCTCTGAATATCCACTCCCTTAAGTAGCCTGATGAAAGGTAAGAGCAGATGAGAGGACAGAGGTACCCCAAGCCTCTGTCTTCTTCATGCTCCTCATTCAGCTTCAGCTCTACCTCTGAGTCAAAGGCAAAGTCAGAGATATCAGAATCAGGCTCCTTGGATTAGTCAGGGTTCTCTAGAGGAACATAACTGATAGAATGAATATATTTGAGTATATTTATTAGAGTGGCTTATAGGCTATGGTCCAGCTAGGCCAACAATGGTTGTCTCTCATTGGAAACTCCAAGAATCCATTCACAAGGATTCATGCTCAGTTCATGAGGCTGGATGTGACAGCTTGTCTTCAGTTATGCCAGAATCCCAAAGAAGTAGGCTATAATGCAGGTAAAGGAATGAACCTGCCAGCAAGAATGAGGGCAAGCAGGCAAAGAAAGCAAGCTTCATTCTTCCATGTCCTTTATATAGGTTGCCACAAGAAAGTGTAGCCCATATTAAAGGTAGATCTTCCCCCCTCAAAAGATCTGGACTAAATGTGGGTCTTTCCACTTCCAGTGATTTGATTAAGATAAATCCCTCACAAGTATACCAAGATGGTTTGATTTTAGTTAATTGCAGACATAGTCAAGTTGACAATCAAGAATAGCCATCACATTCCCCCTACTTGAGCCTAAGAGGGATTCCTGGCATGCTGATACCCTAAGACTCTTGAAAGTAAACTGGGATTTGCTAGAGCAACAGTGAGGATACCCTGGTGCTGGGGATGTCTTTCTGTATGCTGTGAATTTATTTCTCTGATTGATTGATAAATAAAATGCTGATTGGCCTGTAGCCAGGCAGGAAGTATAGTATAGGTGGGATAAGCAGAGAGGAGAATGCTGGGAACAGAAGAATGAGTCCACAGTCACTAGGCAGACACAGAGGAAGCAAGATGTAAAGTACCGGTAAGCCATAAGCCACATGGCAACTTATAGATTAATAGAAATGAGTTAATTTAAGATATAAGAACTAGATAGCAAGAAACCTGCCACAGTCATACAGTTTATAAGTAATATAAGTCTCTGTGTGTTAACTTGGGTCTGAGCAGCTGCAGGAGGTGGACACAGGAAAACTTCAACTACACCCTGGTTTAAGTATATTTTCAGTGTGTTTGTGCCATGGCTTAGCTTTTTGTACTCACTGGCATGTGATGCTGAGGCCCAGTCTTCCTCATCAGTTTTCACATACACATGTTGTCTGAGAACTCTGCTTTCTGTTATTTCCAAAGCTGATCAGGACAGAAATGCACAACTAGATATTCAGGAAGTATGTAGTACTCCACCTTACTGAAAGGGGGCTCTGGTGGTTCCAGATTGCATTCTCTGCATGATGGAAGTCTTGGCCTTTGATTTGATGTGCACTCATGCCTGGGATGAGAAATTGATCTGACTTTCTGAGAGCATCAGTTTGAGCTAGTATGGAGTGAATTATGGGGTATCCCTGTTGATCACATCCCATCCAGGGTCCATAGGCAATCCAAACACTACAGATTCAGCATGCGTCTCTAAGACACTTCCCCAGTCCTGGAAGTATTGATGTCTGATTCATCACAGATACCATTCTTGGCCTCCAAGAGGGTAGCAGAGATACAGGCCCACTCACAAACCACCTCATGATATCTATCCTTCTGCAGTCTGAAGGCCTGGCTTCCAGTTCTGCTTCTTAGAGTTGAACAACAGTTGACTTAGGGTTTTCTATTGATGTGAAAAGACACTGTAATCACAGCAACTCATAAGAAAAACGTTTAATTGAGGGGGCTCACTTACAGTTTCAGAGATTCAGTCCATTATCATCTTATCATCAAGATGGGGAGCATGGTGGTATGCAGACAGACGTGGTGCTGGAGCTGAGAGTGCTACATCTTGCAGGCAACAGGAAGTCAAATGACAGTCACACTGAGGGAAGCTTGAACAAAAGAGACCTCAAAGCCCACCCCCACAGTGACACACTTCCTCCAACAAGGCCATACCTCCTAATAGTGCCACTCCCTTTGGGAGCCATTTTCTTTCAAGTCACCATACCAGTGTATACTGTACCACGATAATGGGCTCTTCATTGGTGTTAGTACTGATTTTTTCTTCAAACTGCCATAGTCCCTGAAAAAGAGACAATCACAGATAGAAAGGGGTAGGGCCTGGTGGGGTTGCAGGCCTGTGGAATGTTATTGATGGGACATCCACAGGTAGGCTCAGTAGGTCCTTGATGTAATTGTCACTGCTTACATGCTGTTCCATACAGCATGGGATGTAGATACCTGCTCCCTCAGCCTTTTAACTTGCTTTTCATTGACTAAGCACTGCAAGGATCTGTGGATCTGTGCAAGCCTCTGTCTCTGTCTCTCTCTCCGTGTGTGTGTGTGTGTGTGTGTGTGTGTGTGTGTGTGTGTGTGTGTGTGTGTGTCTGTATTGATAGGGCTTGAACTCAGGGCCTTTTATATGCTGGTAATATCAGACTCATAAAACTAGTGGGGAATGTTGAGGCTGGTGACTGATGAGGAATGCCTGCAATCCTACTAATTCTGGAGGATGGATAGCTCAAACTCTGCTTGAACTACAGAATGAGTTCAAGACCAGTCTGGGAAACTTAGTGGCAATGTGTCTCAAATTAAAAGGAAAAAGAGGGATAGGGAGCTGACAAGGTGTCTCAGTGTGTAAGGGCCTTGGTCCTAAGTCTGACAACCTGACTTTGATACCTAGAACCTACATAATGGAAGGAGAGAATTGATTTCTGTAAGTTGTCCTCTAACTTATGTCCTCTAATGGCACATGTGTGTCATTGTACATGCACACAAACACACAGAATAAAAGTTAAAAAAAAAAAAAGAAAAGAAAATGAGGTTAGGGATGTAGCTCCATGCTAGAGTGCTTGTCTAGCATGTAAAAAGTTCTGAGTTCAATCACTAGTTTCACCAAAATCAGTTAGTTGGAAAATGTTCCCTCTTCTCTATTTTGAATTTTTTGTAGCTTTGATAGTACTTCTTTTTAATGATATTTAACAAAATTTTCCTGGAATTCATGTGGGATTGGGGATTACTTCTTGAGAATTTTAAAGTTACCAATTCAATTTCTCTAATAGTTAAAGGATTATTCCAATTATCTATTTCATATTGGTTAAGCTGCTGTTTCAAAGAAATTGGCCTATTTCACTTAATTGATCAAATGCATGTGTATAGAGTTTGCATTATGCCCTTTTTATTCTTTGAATGTCTGTAGGGATTATAGTGATATCCTGTGTGGCACTAGTAATCTGTGTCTTCTCTTTGTTAGTCTTTGCAAGCCTTGCTAGGAATCTGTGGATCCTATTTCTCTTTTCAAAGAACCAGCTCCAACTTTACTGATTGTTTTCCATTGTTTTTCTGTTTGCAATGCCATTTATTTTTGCTCTCATTTATATTGTGGCTTCTGGGTTTATTTTGCTTTTCTTACTAATTTTTTTAAAAAAATATTTGAGACAGGATCTTACAATGTAGCCCAGGGTGGACTCAAACTCAGGGTCCTCCTGTTTCAGCCTTCACAGTAGAGGAATTATAGGCATACAGGCATGTACTCCATACCGTGTCGGCCTTCATGTTTTTTTTTCAGATCTGGGAATTGAAACTAGGAACTCTTGAATGGTAGGCAAATGCTCTACCATTATGTCATATCTTCAGTCCACGCATAGTTTTTTAAAGGTGATTAGGTGACTGATTGAGATTTTCTTCTTTTTAATGTAAGTATCTATCACAATCTAACATTTTCCTTCTTAGCACTGGTTTAGGATCTCACAAATTTTGATGTGTTCTATTTTTTTTACTGTCATTGAACTAAACCTATTTTTGTAAACTTTAAGTCTTTGTTATTTGGAAGTATGCCTTTTGCTTTTAAGTGCATTGATATCAGATGAGAGGCAACTTTCATCTCAATCATAATAGAAATCAAACTGAGACAGAAAAAGGGCAAACTTTCCAGGCAAATCTTTAATTGAAAGCCAACATGATGGTACATCCCTCTTATCCCAGAATTTGAGAAGCAGTAGCAGAAGGAACATGAGTACAGGGCCAGCCTGGCTGCAGAGTGAGACCTTGATTCAAACAACAACAAACAAACAAACAAACAAACAAGATATGAAGGGGGAGGGAGAATAATGGGTGAGAGATAATTGGGAAGGGCATGGAAGGGGAAGAACAAGGAGGGGTAGGGAAGGGATAGCTAACATTAAAGATATTTGAACCTTTAATCCCAGCACTCGGGAGGCAGAGTCAGGCGGATCTCTGTGAGTCCAAGGCCAGCCTGGTCTACAAAGTGAGTCCAGGACAGGCACCAAAACAACACAGAGAAACCCTGTCTCGAAAAAAAAAAAAAGATATTTGAAGAGGCCATATAGAAACCCCCTATCTTATAAACTAGCTATTGTCAAAATTATTAAGGCCACTCCACGTAGTTAAAAGGAAGGTTTATTTAGTGGCATAACTTACAAATGAAGGGATAGGTAGGTCGCAGGGTCTGGGAAAGACATAGCGCAGTCCAGCGGTGTTCTCTGGAGAACTCTGATCGGTCTATCTCCAGCGCATCTTCAGGGTCCTCTCTTGGCCCCGCCTTGTAGTTACCGAAGCCTCAATGGGGGTTGGAACTTCCAGATCAAGGTTGGAATGGCTACCCACTACATCTCCCCCTTTTGTCTAAATAAGAAGTTTCTAACCTAATACAAGACTATATACAAGGAAAGGTTATCAAATATTGTCCAGGGGTAAAAGAGGATTAATGACCTAGATAAGATGGAACTACAACCAATGCAAACAATATTAAGCAAAAAACACAAACTAAAATCCAGAGAAGTCGCCGGGCGGTGGTGGCGCACGCCTTTAATCCCAGCACTTGGGAGGCTACACAGAGAAACCCTGTCTCGAAAAAACCAAAAAAAAAGGTGTGCACCACCACTGCCTGGCATTGTCCTTGAATTGTTATTAGAAAATGTCATAGACTGTATAGGTTATAAAGGACGGAAATTACTTTCTAGCAGTTCTAGAAACTGGGAAGCCCTATGACCAAGGTGCCAGTAGATTCCATTGCCAATTTTCTGCTTCCTGTTGCAAAATGACTTTAGTGTCCTCACACAGTGAACGGGGCAAACAACCTCCCGTAGGCCTCTTTAATAATAGCGTGAATCCTACTCAACAGAGCTCTTGAGCTAATCATCCTCAACCCCAAACACCACCAGTTTAGGGATTAGGATCTCAACATGAATTTGGGGAGACAGAAACACACAGACTATAACAATTGTTAAGTTTAAATATATTCTTCTAAACTGTTAGTTGCTTAGTTCTAGACTAAATAATCAAGAAAAGAATGACAAATCTGTTTTCTTATATATGCTCCTTTTCATATTCCTCTTCTTCAACCTATTCATATACTTTTAAAAATATTATACGTAGGGTGTGGTATAATCATTTGGAAGGCTGGGGCAGAAGGGACTTGACTTCCAGACAAGTCTGGGCTCATAGCAAGATCCTGTCTCAAAATGTACTATAAACAAGTCTGTGACCTTCATATCATGGGCTATGTCCAAGTTTGCATGGCATTCACAGCCTTTGAATCATTACTCTTGCACAATTGTCACAGTCACTACCATTGAAAAGACTGAAGCAGAGCAAAGGAATGCAACTCAGTGTCTGAGAGAGAAAACACAATCTCCATGCAACTGTGTTTAGAGAAAAGCAAAAACAAAAATAAAATTGCCAGCCTGAATAATGATTGTACCACAGTGTAAGGAGATGAAAAATAAATGAAACCTTTTCCAAATTCTGGGACTTAATCCATTTTGTGAATGAGAATTTTGACAGAGAACTCCCATTAAGCAAGCCTGGACAATTTATAGGATCAATTTTGGCGTCTAAAACCAGAGGATAGAATTAAAACCTGCTGTAACAGATGATTCATGTACTAGTGTCACCATCCTGTACCTGTGTGAATATGGAAATGATTCCACTTGGTGGCTGCCTGAGTATCAGTTTCTCCTGCAACATTAGGGAGAGACAGGTAAGTTCCATATCTTTCTGTTGCTTGGCTCTCAATAAACAACAGGCGTTTCATTTTTATTTGTGTCTTTATCTGAACTTACATTTTTCTTTCCCAAATGTAGCTATTGTTCACTATCATTCATTATGGCATTACAAGTCTACCTTGAGTGGCGGTTATAACAACCTGCCACTTAGAGATCTTTATATAAATTCCCCCTCTCAAAAGCACTGAAAGCACAAAAGGCATCAGAATGTGGGTAGTCTGTGCCACATCAAAAATCTTGATTTGCCTATGCAGCCTATGAGACCAGAATCCCCACCTATTTGAGATGACCGATTGCTATCTAAGATGAAAACTCTGTCCATTCTTTACACAGAGCTATTAGTAAGGTGTATGGTCTGTAAATAGATAAATTATCAATAAGTGCAACCTCCAAATTTGGGAAGAAGCCATTGTGAAGTGACTCCTTCTTTGGACCTGCTATCTTGTGATTCTTTGGATGCTTCTCCTCATCCAGAAAAATTAAAATAAAAACATCATTCACTTACTATAAAGCCCTTGGGCATAACATGACATTTATAATGTATAAAGTATGCATTTTGTATTTATTTATCATGTATTTCCTCTGGTTAAAAAAAACTGAATATGTAATCTACAACATCCAAATAAACGATTTGACATATTTTATACAACACATGTTCAAGTAATTAATTTTTCTCATGGAAATGTCATACCATTTAACTCATAGCTATGAGCCAAATATTTCTGCAGGAGTATGTAATGAATATATTCATAGCCACAGATTCCCCTACTAATTCTGCCCTCAGATATAATTTAAAGGGACAGAATTAGAGTCTTTTGCACTCTAATTATCAAATGCTTGATGCATAGTAGCTTGTCAATAACATGATTGACCCATTTGGCAGATTCTACCACATCTTATGAATTTACATTGTTGCCTGGTCTTATTGGAATCTCACTCTATTACTAAATATAACTATGTATGATGTGTTTTGAGAATACTTGGTTGCCAAGAAACATAGCAAAATAATTATGTATACACAGGAACAAGCAATGATACAGAACCCAACGTAGAGCAGGGAGCACCTACATCATTTAGGTTGCTTCTAGCAGCAGGTAACAGAAATAAGATACAAAGTGATTTAAAAGATGGAAATCCATTGCCATGATCAAAAGCAGATCAAACTTAAGCTCTGCACAGGCAAACACTTGTTCAAAGAGGTTGAAATCACCAATTAATAAGTATTCCTGGAGGCTCAGTGCTTAAGAGCACATACTGTTCTTAAAGAGAACCTGGACTCCCTTGGCCACAACTCAAGCTCTAGGAGAATGGACACTGTCTTCTGGCCTCCAGGGGCACTTGCACACATGGTACACACAATAATAATCTCCTCAGTGAACTGAGGAAGTGAGGACAGAATGGGAGAACGTGGTCAGTCCTCACCAAGTTTGTAGTTTTTAAAGGTTATACATCAAAACCTCGTGAAGGGTAGAGTAGGATATAGTTGCTTGTTATAATGCTTGCCTAAAGCAAGGCCCTGGCTTTGATCTTCAGCCTCACAACAGAAGTGAGACCCTGGGTTTTTCTGTGTATTTGTTTGTTTTTAAAAAGAAATCTTGTTACCTAGTCTCTCTCTGTTTTTAATTTTAATTCATTCTAGGGTCTCACTATGTACAAAGAGCTAGCCCAGAACTCACTCTGTAACCTAAATTTGAACTTGTAATGTGTACTTGAACTTGCAATGTTTCTGCCTCAGTACCCTGAGTGCTGGGATTCCAGGCATGAACCACCTTGTCCAGACTCCCCTATAGGTTCCATACCTTCTTCAGCTAAACTTGATTTGGGAAGGAGGAGGAGGAGCCCTATCCTCCTCTTCAGTTGTTATTGAAATTAATGTGGATATATTGGCTGCATCATACAGGATTCCCATGTCTTCCATATTTACTTAACATTTTTCTGAAATGACATAAAAAAGTGACTTAGTGGAGTTGGGGAAACAGTTCAATTGAGAAAGTACTCACATGAAGCATACATACATGTAAGCATACATGAAGTCCTAGGTTCAATCCCCAGCACCACGTAAGATCAGGAGTGGTGGTACATTCCTATAATTTCAGCATTCAGGAGGTACAGGCAGAAGGATTCAGAGTTCAAGGCTACCTTTGGCTACATAGCAAGTATTAGGCCAGCTTGGGCTACATGAACTTTTCTGAAAAGAAAAAAAAACAACAACAACAACAAAAAAAACAATTGGACAGAAAATCCTGTGTGCAAGGCTCGGATATCATGATTGAACACCAGATTTATAAGACAAAGAAATGGTGGCTGGGTGGGTCATCTCACTGAAGGACCCTTTTTGGGGCTCACTTGTGCAGGGGGACAAAAAAAGGGGCTGTTGACTGAAACAGAGTAACTTGGGGAAGAAAATCAAGCAGGCTTCAGGCTCCGTGCTCCAGTCACCTTCTATGTAACACGTTACAAGCCTTTGGGTGGGGCTAGAAGACAAAAAGCTATGTTTGTAGCTTTCTGGAAGAATGATGCCCTTTAAAAAAGTCCTACTTTCCATAAAGTTTGGAACCAAACATCAGGGAAAGAAAAGTCACTCATATGAAACAAACAAACAAAAGAAATAGCATTGTCTTTTTATTTCTTTAGCTGCCCTATCTTTTCCCATGCATATGCTATATAAAGTTTTTCCTATGAAAAATTGGGTCATTCCTTTGCTGTTGTTTTGGTCAGAATTTGAATTTTTATTACTGTTGTTTTGTAGATGTTTCTCATGAAAAATGGAGCCATTTGCGTGTGACTCTTGGTCCTGCGTTTTCCATGGGTAAGCATTTCCCCCATGCTATTAAAGTCTTCTGATGCAAAAACTCTAGATTTAAAATTTTTTGCTCATTAAAGCTTTTTATCTTAATTTTTTGTTGTTTTTGAGACAGAGCCTAGCTGTGAAGCCCAGGGTGGCCTCCAGCATGTTACAATATCCTTCTACCTCAGCATCCCAAATGTTCACATTACAGGTGTGAGCCATCATGCCCGGCTATGTAAACATGGTTCTTTTATTAACACATATGAATTTCATGTATAAATGGAGTTCAGTACAATGTTTTTATATATCCATATACTGGCTAAATCCACCCTCTGTTTTCCTACCCCTGCCCCTGCACCCAGCCTAATCCAGAAAACTGACATGACATAATTGTGTTCTGTAACTGCCACAACTGATTTAACAATCTCTTGTTTCTTATTCTTTTAATGTATTTTTTCCAAAATGGATTCTTTCAAAAACAGTCTTTCAAAATTTGCAGACCAAAATGTGCATATCTAAAGAATACAATTCAATGAGTTTTGATAAAGGCAAACATATGCTAATCCAGATGAGTGTTTCCCTTATCCCTCAATGTGCACTCATGTCTCTTTCCATTCAGGCCTCTATCTCCCTTACAACTACTGTTAACTTTTATCACACAGATTTGTTTGGTTTATTCTTGAACTTCATGTAAGGGCCATTGTGTAGTATATATCTTTTTATGGCTGACTCCTTTTTTATACCACAATTATTTTGAGAGTCGCCCGTGATGTGTCTGTCAGCAGTCCATGACTTTTCATGGCTAGTAATATTCCCTTGTATAGATATACAGCAATTTGTCTCTTTGCTCTGTCACCAGCTGATAAGCCTTTCAGTTCCTTCCCATCTGAGTCTAGTATGAATAGCACTAAACATTTTTCTCTTCAAATCCATTTTAATGGGATGTTTAATAGTAGTAAAATGATAGATGGCTTAGTAATGATCTCTCTCTCTCTCTCTCTCTCTCTCTCTCTCTCTCTCTCTCTCTCTCTCTCTCTCCTTCTTCCCCCTCTTATTCTGTGGTAGGGAAACTCAGGGCCCCTAACTCCTAATCCCAATTTTTCTCCTTCTCCTCTTCCTCCTTTGCTTCCCTCTTTTTTTTTTTTTTTGTTTTCGTCCTCCTCTTCCTTTCCTTTCTCTTTTTTTTTTTGAGACAGTCTCAGCATGTAGCACTGGCTGGCTTCAAGGTCTGTTCCTCCTGCCTCAGCCTCTCAAGTGCAGGTATTCCAGGTTATTCATCATCATGTCTGGATTTCTTTTAGTTTTGTATGTTTATGGGTGTTTTGCCTGTATGTAATGACTGCACCAAGTGCATGCCTGGTGCCTGTGGAGGCTAGAAAAAGGCATCAGATCTCGTAGAACAGGAGTAGATGGTTTCAAGCCACCACATGGGTGGTAGGAATCCGAAAGAGCAGCCAGTGCTTTTAGTTGCTGAGCCCTCTCTCCAGCCTCCATTTTTCTCTTTTAAGGGAAGATACAGAAGCTGAGTGTATGACTCAGTGGCAGTGCACTTACTTTGCAAGGTCCTGGGCAGGACCCACAGCAGTGGAGAGAGGGGAGGAATGTAGTTAACAGACCCCAGCCAGGGTAGATGGGGAGAAGATAAAAAATGAGAACAAAGGGGTTTTTGAAGAAGATAACCCAAGGGGAAAATTAGTTTTTAAATAAGTACAGAAAAGAAGAATTAAAATTGGGCAAGGGAGAGGTAATAAACAAGCAAACATACAGTTTTGGATCAGGGCGTTTTGTAAGGAGAGCCAGAAGGCATTTTCATTTAAACACTAAGTATTGTTTCTGTTCCACACGCCCTTAATTGAGGCCCTTGCTGAATGTAGGACATAGACTTGTGGGAGACTGGCTACATGGTCACACCAAACAAGATAGAATTCAGGGTGTGTATCAAAAAGGCAGGGTTGTGCTCTCTCTCTCTCTCTCTCTCTCTCTCTCTCTCTCTCTCTCTCTCTCTCTCTCTCTCTCCCTCTCTCTCTCTCTCTCCCCCTCTCTCCCTCTCCCACCTTCTCTCCCTCTCTGTCCCTATGTCTCTCTCTCTCTCTCTCATGTTTGTGTGTGTGTGTGTGTGTGTGTGTGTGTGTGTGTGTGTGTGTGTGTGTGTGTGTGTATCTGTCTACAGTTACATGGAAGTCTTCCCAGTGTCAGGACTACAGACTTACGATGTCTGCATGGCCTATACACCAGAGAAATAGTTGAATCCACATTAATATTTTCTGATTTTTGTGCAAAATTTCAGGAGTTACATGTCTTTGAACAGAGATAGAAGGAAGCCAGGAAAAGCAAGACCATTCCAGGTGCTTTGAGTTACTGATCCAATCCAGAGCCTTGCACAGTGTGATGGTTTAAATGAAAATGGCCCCCATTCAACTCAGGTAGTTTCATTATTGGAGGTGCTGCCTTTCTGAAGTAGGTGTGACCCTGTTGGAGGAAGTGTGTTGCTGGGGACTTTGAGATTTCAGAAGCTCAAGCCAGGACTACTCACTTACTGTCTCTTCCTATTGCCTGCAGATCAACTCTCAGCTCCTTCTCCTGCACAATGTCTGCCTGCATGCTGCCATGATCTCTGCCATGATGATAATGGACTTAACCTCTGAACTTTAAGCCAGACCTCAATTAAATATTTTCCTTTATAAAAATTGCTGTGGTCATGGTATCTATTCACAGAAATAAAACCCAAAGTAAGACCCATAATGAGCCACTTCCAGAACCCTGATGTTTTGTCTTAAAGAGATTTTTCAGGGAGCCAGGTAGAGTGATGCATGCCTATAATCCCAGTACTTGGGAGGCTGAGACAGGGTGATTGCCATGAGTTTGAGGCCAAGCCAAGACCTTGTCTCAAAAAACAAAACAAAGGAGCTTGAGGGAGTTAAGAGCACTTACTGTTCTTATAGGGGTGCAGAGGACCCAGGTTCAGTTCCTAGCACCCACATGGCAGCGCACAACTGCCTGCAATTCCACTTCCAGATCTGACTCCCTCTTCTGACCTCTGTGGACTCCTGCATGCATGTGGCATGCATAAATTCACATACATACATAAATACATGGAAAAATTTAACTGAAATGAGGAAACACACACACACACACACACACACACACACACACACACACACACACGGAGAGTGGAGATTCTCAAATTTGGGAAGTCTATTTTTTTTTTTTACTTTTAGTGATGTTACTGCCATTTAAACATAGAGTATCTGTTTTCTGTTAAAACTAGAGAAGAGACACAAAAAATAACTCTAAGAAATTGGAGGAAGGAAGGACTTAGAATTCTGTAAGGCACATGGGAAGACATTATTAATAAAGTTCTGTGGGCTTTATGGAATTCTTACCTCATTATTGGATGGTTAAAACTGTGAAAGGAGAGAGGAAAAGAGGCCACAGATACAAATACTGAAAGATGGAGAATGTTTATTTGGTCCATAAATCCCAGGGGAAAGACTGGGGCTGTAGCTTAAGGGGAAAGCACATATTTAACATTTGCAAGCCTTGGGTTCAACCTCCATCACAACACACACACACACACACACCCACACACCCACACACCCACACACACACACACACACACACACACACACCAGGGAACATAACCTTGAGAAAGACAGTATAGTTTACAAAAATTCTGATTGTAAAAGAGGAACAATGTCTTGATGTGAGAACTATAATCAAATATATCTTGATGAACTTAGAGGAATAAAAGTGCTATGCATATTCAAAGCATCATTATCATTCATTCCTTAAGGGAAATAGTGCAGCCTCACCATTAAAACACACCTGAACAGAAATGGAGTTAACTAATTCCACAGTAGCTATGGTTCACAAAATACAAACCCCAATTCCACTGAGGACAGGGTGAGATTAACATTGCATGCATGGGTCCCACAGGGGCATGACATATTATGTCTGCTTCTTCCAATTCCCAAAAGTGTATCCCTTCAATTTACTATTGGGAAAATCTCAAATGGTATGTATGAAGGCACAGCATCTGCTTGGTTTCAGGGCATGAGTTAGAGCACACATTAACCCTTCCAGAGACTTGCTGAAGTCAGAGGTGGTGGTGCACAGCTAATATCCCAGCAGTTAGGAGAATGAGGAAGAAAAGTTCCTGTGAGTTTAAGGATGTTAGCCTGCCCAATGTAGTGAGTTCAGGCCACACTGAAATACATAGTCAAACCTTATTTCAAATTAAAAAAAAAAAGATCAAAAGGAAGGAAAGGAGAGGGGGCAGAAACAGACAAAGAGACAGAGGGAGACAAAGAGAGAGACACACAGAGTTAGTTCAAATTTTCATCTATTCAATGCCTTGCAGGAATCAGGGTGGAGTAGGGAGTGTTTCAAATTCAGCTGTCTGAGATAAATTGGGACAATATGTGGGTATAAAAAGGGAATGAGATTATTGAAAAGTCCACCTGTAATTATAACCCTGGGGAGGCCAGTACAGAAAGACAGTGAGTTTGAGACTAGCCTGGGATATTATCTAGACCTTTTTAGTTATGTGCATTCCTGTTGGGTTGTTTAACACTCACAACCCTGTGGAATAGGGTATGATGGTTATTCTTCTCAGGCTGTCCAACAGAATTAAAAGGAATTAACTAAAAACCAAAAATAGAGGCCACATCTGTGAGCGATTGTTACTTAATTTGAAGTAGGAAGATCTACTTCTAATACATATCTTCAAGGTAGAAAGACATACCTTGAATCCAGATCTAATCTGGGCCCCTCCTTCTGTTGGAAGCCTATATAAGAACATGGAAGAAGGAAGCTTTTGCTCTTTGTTTGCTTGCCCTTCTCTTGCTAGCGAGTCCATTCCTTCATTTGCATTAGAGCCTATTTCTTTGGTATTCCAGCCTACTCTGAGGCCAGCTGAGACTTCTAGCCTCATGGATTGAGCAATTCCTAGATTCTTGGACTTTCTGTTCATAGGTAGCCATTGTTGGATGTGTGTGTGTGTGTGTGTGTGTGTGTGTGTGTGTGTGTGTGTGAGAGAGAGAGAGAGAGAGAGAGAGAGAGAGAGAGAGAGAGAGAGAGAGAGAGATTCATTCTATAAGTTCTGTTACTCCATAGAATCCTGACTAATGCATAGAGCTTTCTTTACAAAGTAGTAACCTGATACTTGGAGTGTGTATAGAACTTGGCCAGTGTCATACAATGGAATAGAGATTTATCTGACTCTACAAAGCCTGAACAGGGAGCACTGGTCACTCACTGTCAGTTTTCTTTCTATTTCTGTGATAAAACATTCTAATTAAAAGCACCTTGTGGGAGGAAAGGGTTTAATTAGCATATACTTCCATGTCACAGTCCATAACTTAAGGGAAGTCTGGGCAGGAACTCAAGCAGAGACCATGAAAGAATATTGCTTATTCCTCATGGATTGTTCAGCCTACTTTCTTATATAATTCAGGACCAGCTTTCCCAGATTGGCACCACCCACAGTAGTCTGAGCCCTCCCCAATTAACTATCAATCAAGAAAATACCCCTACAGGCTTACCCACAGACCACTGAAATTCCCTCTTCTCAGATGACTCAAATTTGTGTCAAGTTGACAAAATTTAACCAACACAACCAATTCCTTGTCAACTTGACATACAAACGCATCACTATTAAATTATAACCTTCATGTGCTTGTTTATCCTCAAGATCTCATGTTTTTATCAAACTATAAAACACAGTATAACTTAAGTCCCGTGGTCTTTAAAAATGTCAAACATTGTGACGCTAAGTTGGGTGGGGTAGAGAGTAGGGGGCAGTAGTCGGGGGTGGTGGGAGAAGGAGGAGGCGGCGAATCACTTATAAATGGCGCCCAAGCAGGACCCGAAGCCCAAATTCCAGGAGGGGGAGCAAGTGCTGTGCTTTCATGGGCCTCTTCTCTATGAAGCAAAGTGTGTAAAGGTTGCCATAAAGGACAAACAAGTGAAATACTTTATCCATTACAGTGGTTGGAATAAAAATTGGGATGAATGGGTTCCAGAAAGCAGAGTACTCAAATACGTGGACACCAATTTGCAGAAACAGCGAGAGCTTCAAAAGGCCAATCAGGAACAATATGCAGAGGGCAAGATGAGAGGAGCTGCTCCAGGAAAGAAGACATCTGGTCTGCAACAGAAAAATGTTGAAGTGAAAACAAAAAAGAACAAGCAGAAAACACCTGGAAATGGAGATGGTGGCAGTACCAGTGAGATACCTCAGCCTCCTAGGAAGAAAAGAGCCCGGGTAGATCCTACAGTTGAAAATGAAGAAACATTCATGAACAGAGTTGAAGTTAAAGTAAAGATTCCTGAGGAGCTGAAACCATGGCTTGTGGATGACTGGGACTTGATTACCAGACAAAAGCAGTTTTTTTATCTTCCTGCCAAGAAGAATGTGGATTCCATTTTGGAGGATTATGCAAATTATAAGAAATCACAAGGAAATACAGATAATAAGGAGTATGCTGTTAATGAGGTTGTAGCAGGGATAAAGGAATACTTCAATGTAATGCTGGGCACTCAGCTACTCTACAAATTTGAGAGACCACAGTATGCTGAAATTCTTGCAGATCACCCTGATGCACCCATGTCCCAGGTGTATGGAGCACCACATTTACTGAGATTATTTGTGCGAATTGGAGCAATGTTGGCCTATACACCTCTAGATGAGAAAAGCCTTGCTTTATTACTGAACTAGCTACATGATTTCCTCAAGTACCTGGCGAAGAATTCTGCAACTTTGTTTAGTGCCAGTGATTATGAAGTGGCTCCTCCTGAGTACCATCGGAAAGCCGTGTGAGGGGTGTGCTCTCTCTCACTCGTGCTTGGATCTCTGTAAACAATTTGGTTCTTAGTCCTTCTCTTGTTACAAATGATGTACTTTGAAGACTGTTAGTGTATAACAGAATTGATGTTTGTTTTCTGTTTGATTTTAAACAGAGAAAAATAAAAATAAAAGGAGTGCCTGCTCCTTTTTTCTTTCTTTTTTCATTTCAAAGTTTCTACCAGTGTATTCAGTGATGGACAACAGAGAGACATGCTGTAGAGTGTTTTATTGCCTAGTTGACAAAGCTGCTTTTGAATGCTGGTGGTTCTGTTCCTTTGACACTACGCACTTTTATAATATGTGTTAATGCTCTATGACAAAATGCTCTGATTCCTAGTGCCAAAGGTTCACTTCAGTGTATATAACTGAATACTCATCCATCTGTGCTCTTTTTTTTTTTAATGGTGCTTAAAGAGCCCATCCTTTGCAAGTCATCCATGTTGTTCCTTAGGCATTTTATCTTTGCTTAATTGTTAAAGAATGGTGGCTTGTTTCATGGTTTTTGTATTTGTGTCTAATGCACGTTTTAACATGATAGACACAATGCATCGTGTAGCTACAGTTTTATGGAAAAGTCAATCTTGTAGGAATTGTTTTTCAGATCTTCAATAAATTTTTCTTTAAATTTCAAAAAAAAAAAAAAAAAAAGTCAAACATTGCCGGGCGGTGGTGGTGCATGCCTTTAATCCCAGCACTCGGGAGGCAGAGCCAGGTGGATCTCTGTGAGTTCGAGGCCAGTCTGGGCTACCAAGTGAGTTCCAGGAGAGGCACAAAGCTACACAGAGAAACCCTGTCTCAAAAAACCAAAAAAAAAAAAGTCAAACATTTTAAATGCTTAAAGTACCATTACAATTTCCTAAGCCTCATAACTGTAGGCTCCTGTGAAATTAAAAAAACAAAAAAACAAGTTAAATTCTTTCTTACCAAGGCACAGTCATAACCAAATCAAAGCAAAGTCAACAATGTAAATAACTCAGTGTTCAACATCTTGAACTCGTGATCTTCTGGGTTCCAAAGAGCTTGTGTAGCGCCCCCCCCCCCCCCCACCTCTTCAGCTTTGTCATTTGCAGCACACAAAGTTTGCCTTCCAGGCTCAGGCTGCAGTCACTCTACACCTCACCTGCTGCTGTCCTTGGTGGTCATTCCACAGTACTGCCATCTCTAATATACTGTGTTCTCTACTGGACCTTCATCAGTCTCCCTTAGACAACTCTTGACCTACCACATGACCTACCACATGATGCCAAGCCCTAGCTTCTATGACCCCTTCAATTCTTAAGCTTTCATGTCGCTAACACCAGTATCATGTGTGACTCTTACACATTGCCAAGTTTCATTGCCAGTTTGAGATGCCCCTTAACTCCCTGTGGACCACAGTTTCTGTGTACTAACCTCAAGGAAATTCTCCCCGGAAGATTTTACCTCTGTGATGCTGGTCTCATTAATTGCAGCTGATTTCTCAGAACCAGCTGAGCAGCATCAATTGACCCAGTATGAGTAAAGCAAAGGTTTCATTGCAGATGGTTATGAGCCACCATGTGGTTGCTGGGAATTGAACTCAGGACCTCTGAAAGAACACCCAGTGCTCTTAATCACTGAGCCATCTCTCCAGCCCGTTAAACTCTTTTAAACACAAGAATCTTTGTAGGGCTCACAGCTACTCATAAAACAAGTGATGATCTCACCATCAAAAAAGTGTAGTTTGAAACTATTTTTTTCCTTTCAGTACTAGGTATTGAATCCAGTGCCTTGTCCACACTAGACAAGCGTTTTACCACCGAGCTATATCCACCTATTGTTTGGATCTTAAATATCTCCCAAATGCCCATTTGATAAAGGCTTGGGCCCCAGATTATTGTGTTTGGGGGTAGGTTGGTAGACCATTTGGAGATAGGGTTTAGTGAGAGGTCTTCAAGTCACTAAGGGTGTTCCCTTGAGGGAGACATTAGAACCTCAGCTTCATTCTCTTGCTCTGAGCTAAATGGCTTTATTCTGCTACATACTTTCACCATGGTGTGTTGTTTCAGTACAGGCCCAAAGCCAGGGAGTCCATTAATCACTGACTGAAATCTCCAAATTTCTAAGTCAAAATAGAATTCCTACTTATAAGCTGATTTTTCTCAGGTGTTTTATAAGGGACAGAAAACCGGGTAACACAGATGAACAAAAGCAGAGAACAGGGTTATTAACAGAAAGTACACTGATTCTCACAGCCGTTTTCTCTGTATGTTGCATAACACAGTGTAAGGCTCCCAGGTCTCTTAGCAATTAGCACGTATCATTAAAATCTTATCTACAATTACACTCTCCAATTTAAATTCTAGTTGCAAGGTTTTTTGTTTTTTTCCTGGTCTTTGTATCCCTGAACACATGAGTACTTTGGAGACCCAGAGAATAGACAAGCCCCACAGGGGATGTGCTATCCCAAATCACACTGAATATTTGTTGAGAAGGTGAAATTTTAAAATGAATCTTTGAAGGTGATATTCCTTCACACTGAAACACAAATTTGCAGGTTGGTGAACTGTTACTGTTAGTTTGGCCAATGTGTCTATTTTAGTAACACAAAATTAGCCTTGAAAAGAGCCAAGGAAGTAATGGGACCCAATAGCAGGGTGAATGAGTCTGTTGGAAGCCATCAGATCCACCTCTGAGCCATAGATATAAGGACATTTTTCAAACAAAACAAACTGTTCCTGTATTTCTTAGATTATTTGGGAGCAAACTGAGGTTATAGCACTAGAATACACAGACAGAAATGTACCATTTTTGGTCTGGGGATATAGCCTCGTTGGAAAGCCCTTTTCAGAGCATGTGTGAGGCAACTGGGTCCATGGATTCTATTACCAGCACTGAAAAATGGAAGAGAGACATACTCATTTGTTGAGTCCATCCCTTTCTGGGATTGAGCTATTTAGTTATAAAATAGCATCCTGATAATTTCTCAAATTCTCCTGGACATTTAGGAAAATAAATAAGTCTTCTCTTTTGGAACAACTTTTGGCCTGCAAATGACACAAAAGTCATATAAGCAGGAAATAGTTGAGGCCCTAAGAGGTCTCTGATCCATGAAATTTTTTTTTATATTGTGTTCATCTTGTGTGAACAATTTTATACAATAAAGATCATATTTGTTGTGTTACCCCATAATATTATATTTATTGATCAACAGAGGATAGATATTTCAGTGTCAAGCATGAGCAGTTGCTGTGGATATCGCTCTGTGTAAATAAAATGCTGATTGGCCAGTAGCCAGGCAGGAAGTATAGGCAGGACAAGCAGAGAGGAGAATTCTGGGAAGTGGAAGGCTGAGGCAGAGAGACACTGCCAGCCGCCACCATGACAAGTGAGATGTAAGGTATCAGTAAGCTACAAGCCACGTGGCAACTTATAGACTAATAGGAATGGGTTAATTTAATATATAAGAACAGCTAGAAAGAAGCCTGAGCCATTAGGCCAAACAGTTTAAATAATATAAGCTTCTGTGTGTTTATTTTATAAGTGGGCTGTTGGACTGACAGGGCTTTGCAGGGCTGGAGAGAAGCTCTCCAGCTACAAGCTGTTGACATCTTAAGGGCTCTGTAGTATGTCCATCATGTGTCTTTTTTTTATCATCTCCCTCCCCTTTTCATAGACACTGAAGTCATCTTCCTCCCCTATCCCTTCATTCCCCACTTCCTCCCCCCAACCCCTTTCCACAAGGTCTCACTATATAGCCCAGGATGTCCTTGGACTCCTGATTTTTCTGCCTTATCCTGCCAAGCACCAGAGTTACAAATGCATGCCTACATGATGGGCATTTTATGTTTTATTTTCCCCTGTGGTAAATAATACCCATCACAATTGAGGCCTGCGTTTCAAACACAAATTCTACACTATATCTTATGATGGTATAACTTCTACTGAATTTAATTCTCATAGAAGGATTTGTGAATTAAAATATTATCATTAGATATTTTAGTGTACAACTTTTTGTGTTACTGGTGATTGAGCCCAGAGCCTTGCACATGCTAGGCAAAATCTCTACCATAGAGTTGCACCCCTAAACAAATGATCTCATTATGGGTGGGGAGTTGAGGTGAAAGAGGTTGATGACCAAAATTAGTAAGCAGCTACACCATGTATATTGGTTTTTAAACTTAGTGCCCTTCCCTATCTGTCTCTCCTTTGTCCTCCCCCTGCTTTTTGACTGTGTTCTTTGCAACTAAGAGAAATCAGTGTGACATGTGACAAGTAGGGGCATGCGACTGAATGCTTTGCATTCATAATACAGAAGAGGTCATCATGCCAGACCTGTCAGGTTAAGCAGGCAACCCAGTGCCAGGAGTCACTTGTTTTTAGGTTTCATGGAGTATGAGAAAACCAATCCCTATTTCTTAAAGCCACCGTGAATGTGCTTCTCTGTAACTTATAGCAGAAAACATTCCTACTTGTTATGTTCCCTTTCCTCTGTTCTTTCTTCTTTTTCTAGTGCTGCTGATGTAACCTAGGACCTTGTGCATTTTAGGCATGCTCTCTACTATTGAGCAACACCCTTAGCACCAGGATGGATTTTGGCAGCCCAATAAATAGGACTCTTGGTGAAATGCAGTCCCTAGAGTTGGACATGTGAGCATCTTCTTCCTCAAGGTTGTAGTAATTACATAATGTATGATTGCATGATCTGAATTTCTGGAACAGACAAGGTTACTTTATACTAGAAGAAAATAGAGTAGTCATTTCTTCTGAGAATGGGGCTAAGGACTAACTAGGGAATAGTATTGTAGATGTAACCAACCCTGTTATTAAATAAGAAACACAGAACCAATGCAAAGAAGAAAGCCAAGAGATCAGAGCTAAGAGCTAAAACCTTACCCTTCCTCCTGCGGTGGTCCTACCTCTCCGAACCAGAGCTACCCCTGTGTTAAAGTCTTTATATAGAGTTCCTGTTCTGCCTTCTCATTGGTTGTAAACCCAACCACATGACCGTGTCGTCATGGCCTGTCTGTATAGACCTCCAGGTTTTCTATGATTAGTATTGAAATTAAAGGCATGTGTATCCAATAATGGCTGTATCCCTGAACACACAGAGACTTACCTAGCTCTGCCTACCAAGTGCTGGGATTACAAGCGTATGCCACCATGGCCTGCTTTCCTATGGCTTGCTAATAGCTCTGACCCCCGGGCAACTTTATTTATTAACATACAAATAACATTTTAATACAAATAAAATATCACCATATAGTATAAAAAAACTTTCTGAGGCTGAGAATTCAGTTCAGTGATAGGGCACTTGACCAGTGTGCACCAGGCCATGGAATAGATCCAAAACACACAAAAAAACCCCAAAATAATGGCTTTTGGCATCTTGATAGAAATTGGGGTTACAAAATGGCAGATGTTGCAATCAGGCTGTGCCCTGCTAAGTTACTGTATATTGTGTAAAGCAGTAGCTCTCAGGCTGTGCCTTGTCCTTGGTAAGTCCATTTTATAAGCAGTATCTGGCTCTGTTTTGAGTGTAAATACAGAATCAAACTGACTCTACATCATTGTGCACATAAGCACCATCACCTGTCCAGCACCATCCATACAGTACAGACTGATAACTTGTTCTTAGAAGTAAGAAGTACCACCTGGGACTGGAAAGACTGCTTAGTGATTAAGAGCATTAGTGCCTAAGAGCATTAGCTGTTCTTCTGAAGGACTTGGGTTCAATTTCCAGCACCCACATGGTGACTCACAACTGCCTGTAACTCTGGTTCCAGAGAATCTGATATTTTCTTTTGTCCTTTGTGGATACCAGCCCCACAGGTGGTATATAGACATACATGCAGACACTTGTATGTATGCATTACATAACTAACTAAAGAAATAATAAAATATTATTTGAAGAATGATTAAAAAGAAGAGAAGATATCACCCTATAAACATATCAAAATAGATCGGGACCATAAAGGTGTATTAAAACCACATCAGAAAAACCAGGCCTCCAAAGTCATGAAACACATCAGACAAAGGAAGGGTGCAAGACCCTCACCTGGAGACCCCATAAAGAGGATGGTACCTAACACTGCAGTGGTGACAGCTCCTACCAACCTGTAATCTGATCAATGTATATATCAAATGTCCCAGCTGTCCCTGGTTTGATGTGGGGTAGGTTACTTTAGCTTAGTTTCCCCTGATTGATGCTGTTCATACAAATTGCTTTCCATCCACCCATCCAATATTCTGGAGCAGTCTTGCAATTTGTCCCTCCATGGTCCTCCATCATGCATTTAACCTCCATGGCTTTCACTTCCATGGTCCTACACCTTGGTTTTGAAGTTCAACTCAACCTTAAAGCCCAGCTTTACCCTGTCACCTTGCAGCCCCTGCATCTCAACTCTGTGCCTCCAGCATTTCTCCAGATGAATTCATTAATACCTAAACACTGCAGGGACTCTCTTTATCTTTATGAGCTCTCTGTCTCTCCCTCTATTGAAGTGCCTTTGAACTCCCTGACCCCCACTTCAGCCATCCTTTGTAACCTTTTTATAACCTAATATAGCTAGCTAACTAGATATACAGACATATAGACAGAGAAACCATTGACAGATGTAATTGCTGTGTGTTGTGTAATATGATATGAGTGTTAATATCAGTAATTAATATTAGAATAAAAGAATTTGTATTTGCCAATAGCCAGTTATCAAGAGAATGTGAAAGTACTTGGAAAATTGCTGCCCACAAACTTATGACACTTATGAATTTATTATTATCCAATTTATTATTATTCAGTTGGGGAATGACACAAACATATCCGTCTGTTTCTTGTGGGAGCCCACAAAAGCTTCCTAGTAAGATTTGAGCTTGCTTTACACAGCAGGGCTGCATTATGGGATGGCTTGACCATGTGCATGGTTACCAGGTGTTTGGAATGGTCTGCACTTGGTTGTGCTGGGGGGAGGTCTTTTGCTCCACCTCTTTCCTTTAAAAGCCCTTTAGTAGATACAGAAGGGGCTGGTGGGTTTTGACCCAGGCCCTCCCGAGGCTAGCCTATGTTTCTAACTGTCTCTCTCCTCTATATTTCTATCTACATATTTTTCATTTCTCCCTGCTCAAGAGTACCCTGGGAGAAAAAGTGGGGGGCAGCTCCACCACAGTTTCTGGCATAGTGTTCTCATGGCAGTAGGCATTTATCAAAATTCAGTGAGTGGATACTAAAGCTCTGTGCATTTTATTATATATCAGTTTTATGTCAGAATAATAAAACTCTTGAAATAAATATGAAACTCCAATAAATGACATGCAAACTTACATACTGTGGGAGGAGGGGGGTCCAATTTACTTTCAAGTGTATCAAAACCTAAGATGGAAGCTCACATCTATTAACATGGCTACTAAATTTTTTTAAATGCAGAAACACAGTAACTGGTGTTGATGAGAATGTGTAGAATTGAAGCCCTTGTGTATTATTGGTGGGAATGGTAGATGATGAAAGTGCTATGGAAAACAATATGATGACTTCTCAAAAAATTGAAAATCAGGCCAGGTAGAGTGGCACACGCCTTTAATCCCATCACTTTAGAGGCAGAGGCAAGCTGATCTACATAGTGATAGCTACATAGTGAGACTATGCCTCGAAAAAACAAAACAAAACAAAAAATTGAGAATCAAATTATCTTGTAATATAGTGATCTCATTACTACACATACACCTATGCTAAATTCTGCCTTCTCAATTAGCTGGTAGAGTTTATTTCCCACTTGGACCTTAAGTGATGCAACCACCCTATTTTAAATTGCAATAAAAACTTGCAAAAGTCTCTATTACATGTGGTATACCTGGGCAACTGTCTTCCTTCCACCAGAATGGAGGCTGCCTGCAGGCAAGGGTTTTCCATTTTGCTTACTGCAATCATGGATGCTTAGGTTAGTGCCTGATACATAGTTGAAACTTAATACTTGTCTAATCATCTATAATGTGTAGGAAAAGTAAGGTCTGCAAGATCCACAGTTACAACAGAAGAATTTTTTTTTTTTTTTTTTTTTTTTTTTGGTTTTTCGAGACAGGGTTTCTCTGTGTAGCTTTGCGCCTTTCCTGGAACTCACTTGGTAGCCCAGGCTGGCCTCGAACTCACAGAGATCCACCTGGCTCTGCATCCCGAGTGCTGGGATTAAAGGCGTGCGCCACCACCGCCTGGCACAACAGAAGAATTTAATTCACCCTTGCCATGACTGAGAATGGAGACTATAGGCTGAGAAAGTAAGCAAATCCCTCCACCTGCTTATAAAAACTTCAATTATGTTCTTATGGAATTCAGAGAGCAGTCACCAAGACAGTTTAGGTATGTTGGTGCCTTTATTCTTTCCATCTTTCCTCCCTTCCTTCTACTCTCTCCCTTCCTCCCTCCCTTCTCCCTTCCTTCCTCTCATTCTTTTGTTTGTTTGTTGCTGGTGCTAGGGCTTGAGCCTAGGGCCTTCTGGGTGAAAGGCAAGAAGAACTCTATCACTGAGCTATACCCACGACTCTGTGTGATCCTTTTGAACCAGGAAATATCAAAAAAGTTGACTGTGGTGGGGCCAAGGGGAGAGTTGCTTCTCAAAGATTATAGGAGCTATAAACATTAAGAGAACATTTTTTCTCTCTCAGATATTGTAGCTACCCTCGCTCCCTCTGTTAGGGTCCTGGAGAAGTCCCACAAAAGACCATCATCCACATATGCAAACAGCAAGAGTGTTTATCTCAAGAAAGCTTCCAGTATGCTGGTGTCTCCTATTCCATATAAAGGTAAGACGGGGAAGACCCCAAGAGAGGCATGTGGGCACCTTTTAAGCATAGCCAAGGAGAGGTCCTAAGGCAGTTAGGTCATTTTAGATATGATTGGCTCAAGCAAGTGGCAATCATATCAGTACGTTTTAATTGGTCAGGGCTAGTTAGAGGCTGGTCAGGGTACAGTTTTCCATTTTGGGGCAGGCCTGGACAAGTCCCTGACTTTGTCCTTGAGCTTCTGGGGAGGCTGGCTATCCTAGTACGCACTGACTGTGGGGGCTGACTCAGTGACCCAGGCTTGGTGTGTCCTATCTCCCTTGTCCCTGCTGTCAGGCTGTCCCAGAAACTGCTTGCTCAGTCTCAGGAAACTGAAATTGAGGCCTGATCTCTGAGAGAAGACTGAGCAGCCTGTTATGGTATCTGCTCAGTCCTCTCACCTCCAATGGGAAGGGATTATCTTAGAGCATTGATCTTCTATCTAGGAGATCCAAAGCAATGGTTCTCAGAAGAGGAAGACGTGGAACAGCCTTACCGGGTGAACTCATGTATCACTTTTCCCAGTCTCTTTGCCCCAGGGTCAGCAAATCAGAATGGCCTAGGGTGCAGCGTAGATACCAATGATTTTTAGCAAGTTTCTGAAGTAAATCGGGAAACTCTCTTACTTAATTGCAAATCACTGGGCAAAGGCAATAGCCAATGTTAATTATTAAAGTTTAAAATGTACACTTCTAGCTAAGTGTGGTAGCACATGCCTGTAATGGCAGCACTGGAGAGAGGAATCAGGAAGGATCAGGGACAAGATTCATTGAAAAGGGCAGGGGAGCAAAAGATCACATTGATAAGTAAAAATCCCCTGGTAGTGAGTCACTCTACCGAAGTAATAAGTCAGATCAGGCCAAATTAATAAGTCCAGGTTTAATCTGAGCAGAGCATTCCTGGGTGATCCCAGGGAAAGAGAAGAAACCAGGAGGGAAAACCAGGAGGGGAAGTCTGTGAACCAGACCTTAAATACCCTCCAGGGGTGGAGCCACTGCTTGGCAGGCATTCTCAGGGGCAGGGTCTGAGGAGAGAGAGGTGGGACCGAGGTGGGGCTTCCACCTAAACACATATATGAAATGGAAATGGAAAAGAAAGTACTGGGAGTAGAAAGACACAGAGGAGGAAGTTGGAATGAAGAGGAAGGAGGACAAAGAACTAATAAACACCCCACCCCTCACCCATTGCCACTGGAGGCAGGTGTGAGAGCTGGTCCTGGGTCCATAGAGTGAGGTACTAGCCCTGCCCCTTACCAGCTGCAGCACACAGGAGAACAGGCCCTGAACTCCACCTGGACAGCACACTAGAGTTGACCCTGTTGTGTGTATGTGTGTGTGTGGGGGGGGGCACAGGTGAGCCAGTCCTGAGGGCATGAGAGCAGGAGAGCTGAATGCCCCCCCCCCCCACCTCATGCCCCTTACAACACTTGGGAGAGAGGGTCCTACACCTTGCCTGGGTAAAACAGTTACATTGGCCCTGGTGATGTCAGTGTGCGTGAACTGGATCTGAGGACCTGAGACCAGGAGAACTGGCCCCGCTCCTTGCTGTAGGCTGCCTTGGATGAACTAGCTGAGGCAGTGCTGGAGCTGGAGAGCTCACCCTGATGGTGAGGATGAGGGAGAGCTGGCGGGCTGACCAACCCGGCTACCACCTAGACCCAGAATGGCCCACCCCAACATCCACCCCATCTATGAACTGCTAGAGCATGTGAAGGGGATGAACCTACAGATTCAAAACAGCAGGATGTCCACAATACAGGACAACAACAGGACATCTAAGAGGAGCCCCAGAAAGAGCCCGTTATTGATAGTGTTGCAGAAGTCAGAGACCTGAAATCAGACCAATGAGTCACAGCAATGAACACTTACAAGTAAAGATGAGTGGACCAAAGGGTAAACTGTGTGATTCAACGTGCTTCACTACAGCTTCCTTTTTTCTTGTTTGTTTGTTTGTTTTGTTTTAGGGGGAGGCTGCATGGGCTGAGGGCGGATTCGAGGGGATGGGAAGATAAGTGGGATCAGGATGCATGATGTGAAATCCACAAAGAATCAATAAGTGTTAAATAAAACCCAAAGAATGAAAATAGAAGTGGGGGACTGGATGAAAAAAGGAGTAGATCAGTGAACAAGAAAATAATGGGAGTGAATATGACTGACATGTATAAAATTACATATATTTAATATATGCTAATAAAACTAAAATACACAAAAAAACAATAAAAACAAATAGTAAACAATAAAAATTTTGCTTGTAAAATGCCATGCCATGATGAACTCATTTGTAAGCTTTTATTACATATAATTAAATAAATGGCAAAAATAAAATTTCAAATAATCTAAAAAAACCAAAAAATAACAGTATATAAATCTCTGTTCAGTGATGATGGCTCATTCAGTTCTTTGTCAATTTTTAGAGGACTATTTTTTTATAGTCATCATTTAATTGTATTATTTATGTGGAGATGTAGGCTGTATAAGTGTTCATGAGTGTGTTCGTGTATATATGAAGGGCAGCAGTCAACGTCAGGTGTTTCTTTGGTTGCTTTCCACCTCATGCTTATATAGCAAGTACTTACAGCACTGAGCCCTATTCCCAGCCCCTTTCAGTAATCACTTTTAAAAGTGATAACCTTTGTATTCTAAATGGGATATAGCTTAGATTTACAAGAAATGAGGAGGATATCATTGGCTATGAAGCCAAAGACAGCAGTGAAGTTTTTTCAGTGTGTTTTTTGTTGTTGTTGTGTCTGTTTTCAATTTAACATCAATCCAGGAGATTAAAGATTGTAGGCAAAATTAAACTGTACAAGAGGCTAAATTTTACAAATATATTAAAATATTTGTGTAACAGTCTTCCTTTTAGGCCACCAACCAGCACCCAAATCATGACACAGAGACTTATTAGTTATGAATGCTTAGCCTTATCTTATACTTGTCCCACTAGCTCTCAAAACTTAACCTGTTTCTCTTCATCTACATTTTTTTAACCTTTCTTTCCTTCTGTATATCTTACTTTTACTGCTTCTTGTGTCTGTCTGTCTGTCTGTCTGTCTGGTGGCTGCCTGGCTTCTGGCCCCCGGCGTGTCCCTCTCTTTCTCCCTCATTCTCTTTCTTCTCTCTCTCTCGAACCTAGATCTCTCCTCCTACTTATTCTCTCTGCCTGACAGCCCTGCCTATCCCCCGCCTGCCTAGCTATTGGTCATTCAGCTTTTTATTAGACCCAGCAGGTGCCTTAGGCAACACATCTTTACATAATTAAACAAATACAGCACAAACGAATATAACACATCTTTACATAGTTAACAAATGCAGCATGAACAAAATTAACAAACCTTTACATAGTTAAATATTCTGCAGCATAAGCAAATGTAACACACCTTTGCCTGGTTAAAATAATATTCCACAACATATTTGTCCATCAAAGTGAGTTTCACAATCACTATGTAATTTAGCAGGAATGTCTCCAGTGGAAATAATTCTTTTCAATAGGATTTTTCTTATTGCTAAGGTGTTAGCTTTCTCATGGGAAAGCATACAAACTTAGCAATAGTATTTATATCTGCATGTTGGAAGGATTTGGATAAAATCAAATCACCAGGTTTCAAATGTATCATTCAATAAAGAAATAAAAAAATCTCTTTTCTAGCTGAGTTTTAAAATAAATGTTACTAAGGACAGATTGATATTTTAAGAAAACCTTACTGTAGCAAACAGAGAATTGGGCAACAGGTCTATACCACTGTATTGAATTTTGACCTTCAGAATTTGTAATAACTTCTAAGTATAGCCAACTTCGTCATAACCATGCCATCTTTTTAAAATTTTCAACTTTAACCAATCTTCTTCCATATGTTCTAGCTTTTTATTTTAGTCTTCACCTTTCTTTCTCATTTTGAAAGACTAGTTTAGGTCATAATCTCATTTTTATCACACAAAATCCTTTCTTCATCTAAAAGCATTTCCTTTAGCAAAAATATATCACACAGCTATAAGTTTTTCTATTTTATGGTTGCTGGCTTATTTTTGTCTTACTTTTCTCCACAAGGTTTTAAAAAGTCATTTTGTTAACAAAATGTAATAGCTTTATATTTTAATGAAAACCCAGGGAGCTGCAGCTGAAAACATGACAAACCACATTAAGAATCCTGGAGACATTTGTTTTCTCTTACCAATAAATCTCAATTAACTAATTTGTTAAAGATTTAAGTGTTATTGTAACAGACACTCAGAAATTGCCTTTGCTAAAAAGCATTGACTTCTCATTTGGGTCCACAAGGCACCCAAAGGCAAGTTAAAAGTTGTGTCTCTGCTTTCATCCTGTGTCTGTCTCCTTCATTTGGGGCAGATTCCTGCTTGTCTTTGTAGTTATCATGTTAATCACTCAAGGAGTGTCTGTCGAAATTATCTAATTTATCCCTTTAATGCTGAAAGCACAGAGATAAGCCATTATCTTAAACCTTCCAGAACATTAAAGCCTCCCAGGTTAGACCATCTCCCCCAAGAGGACAGCTGAGGCTCCATCCTGGAGCATCAGCAATTGTTTCTTGAGAACTAGCCTGTCTTTTCAAGCAATGAGGACTTCTTAGTTGTCACATCCTATAGAATCAGAGCTCAGATAATGATTGGGCACATTGATCAAACTTTCCTTCTTTGCCACTCATCACTACTCATGACTCAGCCTGGCAGATTGGGACAGGCAGTCAAGCCTAGCCTGTTGGGACTGCAAGACCCAGGCCTTCTGATGTAAATTCTTGTTGCATTATGAACTAAAAGGAATTTGGACTATTGGACTAAATTTACACGTGTATTTATTTACTTATAAGCCAATTTGAATTCTCTTTTTTTGCAGGGGGTGGGGGACAGGATTTTGTCATGTAAACACATCACATAACATATATCTAAAGGTAGCATATAGAAACATATATACATATAGATCAAGGTAATGTAGCCTTTATGGTAAAATTTAGTCATAAGGCAAACTAA